ATGCTTTGTCATGTCAGCCAATCTGATAGGTGTGATGTGGTACCTCAGAGGTGTTTTAACTTGCTTTTCTCTAATCAGTAGTTATTTAGAACATTCTCATATGACTTTTGATAGTTTTAATTTCTTCATCTAGAAATTGTTCATATTCTTTGACCATCTATTAATTGAGGAATGACTTGTATTCTTATAAATTTGACTCAGTTCTCTGTATATTGTAGAAATGAGGCCATTATTAGAGATACTGGCTGTAAAAATTGTTTCCCAGCTTTCTGCTCTCCTTCTAATTTTGGTTGCATTGGCTTTGTTTGTGCAAAAACTTTTTAGTTAAATGTAAAAATTACATTTTCAGCATTTCCCCAAAATCAGCTATTTGTGACACCCTCAGTCTCCTTTTCCCACCACTGTGGAAGGAAAATGGGCATAAGAGTGAAGACTCTTTTTAAAATTATTGTCTGGCTTTTAGATCACCAAAGATTTTATTACCTAGTGGTCACCCTGTGGGGATTAACTCTACTTACATATATAAACTGTCATCTAGACAGCATACACAGAAGTGACTAGTCTGCAAACTCTGTAACATTATGCCCAACTTGACCCATAATACAGCATCACAGAAACTCAGCATTGAAACATCAAGGACCTCAAGGACTATTCTAATTCAAATGTAAATTAAAGTCATTGATGTAATAAAGCTTAAATGAGTTAAAGAATGCAAAGTACTTTATGAAACTTAAAGCAAAATATAAATCGGTATTATTGTTATTATTATCATTATTAGACTTGTTAGGAGGCCTTATGTTTCATAATAACTTCTTTTGCCGTGCCTTCTCCTGCACTTCTAATGACCTCAAACAATGTTTACTGAGCAATATTGGGGTATGTGGTAAATATTCAACAATAGGGATGGGAGTGGGGTGAGGAATGTACATAAACTTTTTAATTTAATCTGCATTACTAATACTTTCCTCAGTCTAAACAATCAACAAAATAAGTTGACTTTGAAGTATAATGGTATTGCTGCAAATTTTATAATCAGCTCCCCAAAGCCAGTTGCAGCAGGCGTCAGCAAATCTCTAACTAGTGTGTCCTCTACAACATTGCCAGGAGAGGACAAACCAATCTTTAGTAATAGGTGTTTCAAGATATCCTAATCCATTTGGCAAGAGTTTAAATTGTTAGGAAGTTATGGTATTGATATGTAATTATAAAAGGAGTACAAATATGTCCTAGTAGACAGAGAGCAAACTTGGTGCCAAGAAGATTTGGCGTCAAAATCTTCCTCAGAAACATGTTGCCCGTGTGACCATGAACAGTCCATTCTATTCTTATGCCATTCTTCAAATGATCTTTGCTATGGGCAAATCTCTTAGACTTTACATTTAAATTCAAATAGACATCTGTTTTGGTATGACAAATGTTTTTTTTTAACTCGGTGCTCCTATAGCAGTGCAATCACAGGGCTAGTCCCCATGCCTGGCTCAAAGCTCACGTTGCTTTTGGGAATTTCCATGTTTGTCCTACCTAGTTCTACCACGTGCAGCCAATCAGAACAATTTAAATCCCTGTTCCACTTGCCAGCCTTCTCATATTTGAAAACAACTGTCAGGGATTACCTGAGACTTCCCTTCTCTACCTCCTTTAGCTAATTTGGGTAGTTAATTGTAAATAGATATTACTATATAGACAAATATAATTTCATCTTGAATATCTTCAGACTATTCTGTTGGTATTTAATTATTATAATTCCTTTTCATTCAGATATGTTTTCACATTACTGAAATACATACATGCATACATGCATATATGTATCTTTTTTCTTTTTTCTTTTTCATATTACATGTATTAAATAAAACATGGAGAGAAAGGTGGAGAGAGGAGCTCTCAACAACAAGCTTTTGTGCACAATGGGTCCACAGATGTAAATTTTCACAGCTAGCACGTTATGTGTCCTCAGTGCTGGTTTTGTTCTCTTTTCCTGGAACAGAGAAGACTGTTGTATGTAATTCACTAATTACACATGTCTTAAAAGACAGATAGAATGATGTGACTAAGGATGGATATGTGCACAATTTACTGACAGGTCTACATTGGGGCCTTGAAAATTTCTAGAAGAGGGAGTGAAAATGTCATCCATCTCTTATCTGCATATTCAGGTGTTTTGTCAGAAAGTTATTGACATTCCATTTCAGCTAATGGACAAAGCCAGCTATGAGCAATTGTTCTCCCCTCTCTTAACCCATGCTTTATAGGTTTAAAAGGAGAAATGGGGAGTGATCTGGTAATTTAGCACGTGTGACTTAAGAATAGACCACCTTATTTAGGAATGATACAATTTTAAAACCCGGGTTGTTTATAGCCTTTAGTGTATACTTTTTAAACAATGAGGTTTTCTTTTAAAGGAAGGCAGCTGATGTGAAAATAAATAGCATCAATAACATGCTACAAAAAAAATTCTTCATCCCATTGCAAAAGTATGGGATAACTCCATGTACTCCCGTGTTAGGAACAGAAAGGAGAGAAAAGGAGAAAGGTGGATACTAGCATATTGGACAGATTTCCTGTGGAGACCTCATAGAAGGACTATATATGAGTGCCACACACAATGGGCAGGCAAAGACAGGTTATTATCTACATCCTTGGTGGGAATGCCTGCATTGATGAGATCATATATCCACCGAGGTATTACAGAGTACGAAAAGGAAGTGTGCCCCAATCTGTGGTGTTTCATGGGAAAAAACCCTAGCATAGATGTGGTAAATGTTAACATTAGCACACTTTCTGATCATAGGGCTTTGTGCGTGGAGGGACCTTAGAGATCAGGCCATGTGATGGCTTCATTTTAAAGATTCAGAAACCGATCCTCCCGAAAAGTGAAATAGCCGAGCCAAGATTCTGAACTAAACCCACAGGCTCCATGCCTTCACCCTGTATCTCACTGTCAACCTAAAAACTGATGACAGACAATCGCTTACTTCTGCTGGCTCAGGGTGCAGAGGGACTTTTATCCCCCAAGTCCAGATTCGGTTTGTGACTTTAAGATTGATTTTTCACTCAGGCATTTTTCAAGAGCAAATTCTTATTTATATACTGTAAATATATTCTTGCCTGATATCCTCAGGCTGTGAATTCCCTGAACATTCCCAATTTATTTTAGTGTCTTGAAGAGGTTGTATTTTCATTTTTAGTGCCACATCCCGTTTATATGGAATATGCGTAATAAAAAGACCCAATGGAGAACACTTGCTTTAGGTTAGGTTTTTCTTTTGACAAAACATACCGACATCTCAGAGCTGGAAAGGACCTAAGTGGGCATCAGCTCTAACCCATCCCTTTATAGAATTCCTTCTAGTCATTTCAAGTCAATAAACCTTGCCTAAGTACATACTGTGTGCCAGGCATCCAGCCTTTGTTCAAAGACATGCTGTGAGGAGAAAATCTCTGTCTCTTGAGGTAGTCCATTTTACTTAAGGACACCTACAATTGTTCAGTTTTGTTTTTTTTCTCATTCATTCGTTAATTCATAAATGAATTCATTAAATGCCTGCTATGATCCAGGTACAGTTCTAGAAACTGTGGATATGAATTTCAATTCAAACCTCAGTTCAATGCCACTATGCACAGAACGCCTTTTCTATATTCTGCCCATAACTGCTAATGCCTTCTATATTAGATTGAAACTGATCTGCCCCAAACCCCGATTGCTGGTGTCCCCATAAAATTCTCTTTTGTCTTTTTTCTGTGTGTCTTATATAAACACATGTATGTGTATGTTCTCTCCCCCATTAGAAAGCAAAGTCTCTAAGTGAGGTTCCATTTTACTTTGGTCCTTCTGTCTCCAATGCTTAACCTCATGCCTGGCCTATGAACGCTCATTGATCGATTGTTACAGTGCCAAAAATGAAACAGCCTCTGACTTCATGAAGCTTACATTCAATTGGCAGAGAAACAACATGTGCACATAAGTCAATGAAAATGGTTTCAAAATCAACTTAAAGTAATTTTCTGGGTAGTTGTAAACATTGGAGAGCAGGAGGGATAAGGCTAAATCTTTTGTATGAAGCAATTTACTTCGTCTCTTTGTAACACCCACATGTTGCTTCTCTCTTTTTTGCCCCTCTCTGGGGTCAGGAACAGCAGGTCTAATATCCTTTCCTTATGAAAGTCATAAGAATGCTTAAGGCCAGTGTTCAACGTCTCCCCCCTCAGCCTGATATTCTTTGGGCTAAACTCCACTCCACTAAAACCAGCTTCGTGTAACATGAACTTAAGGCAATGTCACTGCTGTGTGGTAAAAAAAGGAGGATTAACATTTTCCTCAGGGCTATCTGACAGTGACTCAGCTATTGTCTGGGTGTTAGCCATAGCAACCACCCTGAAAGAATCCCATATGCAATGATTAACTTTAAGGAGCCACAATCCATCAGGTGGACATAAAGAACATTCAGATTTATCTTTTAAGGATTTACTTCAGGGAAAGGGTGGAAAAAATAAGCCACAGAAACTCTCACTGTAGGAAGAATCTGCTATTTTTTTTTAATCTTTTATCTTCTTTTCTCCTCTGAATCTCTATATCAGAAGCTTTCCTGAGTGAATTGAAATATCAGCTTTTGTTATTACTGATGTTACTTTTGTTCGTGATAAGATAACTCCTGTGGAGATGGGGGGAGGGTGGGAGAGGGAAGTGAGGAGGAATAAACTCATAATATGAACAGGATAGAAGGCCAGCCTATGGCAGATCTAATTTTCTAGCAAAATACCTACTCCTATATTCTCTCACGTGCCCACCTCTTCCCCCTCAAGTAATCTCTTCTGTGTGTTTTCTTGTGATTGTGTCTGCTTTCCCACAGTGAATATTATAAAAGCTAACTCTTAAAGTAAATGTTCAGAATTTCTACTTAAAAGGAGATCAACATCTCATCAACTGGTGAAATGTTTTGGGGCTTGCTGAAGAGCACAGGCGGTATAGGTGATTTTAAGCAGATTCCTTTTTTTACTTGCAGGCACAATCATCGTGGACAACATGCTCATCAAAGGGACAGCAGGAGGCCCCAATCCTACCATTGAACTCTCATTAAAGGACAACATGGATTACTGGGTGATGCTGGATCCAGTCAAACAGATGCTCTTCCTAAATAGCACCGGCAGAGTCTTGGACAGAGATGTTAGTTGCTTTCTTTTGTACATTCTTTTCTCTGAATCTTATTTTCCACGGAGACCCAGAAGGTTTGAAAAGAGACCACTATTGAATATAGGAAACTCATTCCAAGGCCTTGACATAAATAAATAATGTGTGACTAATGAATGGGAGACCACAGGTATAACGATGTTTTGTAATGTAAATTAGACTTAGGGCATTCATGAAAATGTTGGGATAGGATAGGAAAGTGTTAGCCTCTTTGGTGGGATGCACAATCTGTCACTTTCTTTGGAAACAAGTTATATCTTTTACATTTTAGAATGATATGAAATCATTTTCTGGTATCTTAATCATGGTGTGCAGGGCATTTGGATTCTTGAAAGCTATATAAAAGGGTGAAATCCTAGGCAGATCCTAACAATTTAGTAAGTTAAATTCCAAGGATAGAGATGTCTCCATCATCTGAGGACTAGTCTGGATAAATTCCAAGTAGTCCAATATGATGTTGACCATAGAAAGGTCATTGATTGAGTGCTAGATATTTTTACTACAGCCCCTCAAGGCTCTATGATTCATACAGGTGGTTGTACCTGCATTGGTGAAAGCAGAATAACAATAAAGAAATTGGTCCCTGAGTGTTGTGATATCATCATCATCATCATCATCATCATCATCATCATCATCATCATCATCCCTGGACTCAAAATTAGGAGACCCAGCTTCATAATCTGAACCCTGATATAATAGTATTACTACTTATGTAAGTTAGCAAGTAAATTCCCGAGGACCATCAGTTGTCTCATCTGTTTGAAAAACGAAGGGAGTTTATATTCCATGTAATTTCTTTGACTGTTTAAAGTTACCCTTCTGGCTCTGTCAATTTAAAGAAATCTTTCTCTGCATGTTAAAATGTCAATTAGCTAATGAATACTCTAACGAAATGTTAGCATGACAGATTTAGTTCTGTAAGAGATCTTTAACTTCATCCAGTCTAATGCCCCCACTTTACAAATAAGGGAATGGAGACCCAGATAAAGTAAGGTACCAACCCAAAGTCAGAATACTGTATGTAAGGGAGCTGAGGTACGAACCCAGATTCTTTGACTCCTGACCCAATGTTCCTACTACTGTATTAGGCTAATGTACATAAAATTATCAGCCCCAGCCCTGAAAAACCCAAACAGGAAAAGAGTTGTTGGAAGTGAAAAATGCCTCTTCAGGGGTGATGATAAGACAACACATTTGTATATATCCAGTTAAGGCAAGGCACATAGCACAGAATAATGAATACATAGGACACCTTCAATACTAGCAAGCTTCCCAAACCCGATTTGATGACAGTGACAATGAGCATGGTGGTGGTGAGGATGATGATAATAATGACGGCAGTAGTGGTGGTGGGAACAAGATGATGACAATAATGAGTATAATGACGTCTGATATTGATATAACATTTTTAACATTCCTATCTAACACCGCCACACAATGAGATCTTATTTTTATAATTAAGAAAGTGAGATTCATTCATTCATTTATTATTAAACATCAGTGTGAGTCAGGCACTGTGCTAGGCACTGAGAGTACAAATATAGAGAATGAAATAATTTCTTCCTTCAAGAATTATACATGCAGTTGAGCAGAAAAAAAAAGCTAACTATATACATGTAAGTATTTACAAAGCAAGAATGAAATAAATACAAAAAGATTAAATGACTTGCCCCAAAATCATACAGCTGGTATGGATCAGCGGTGAGAAAAGGAAGAGGGAGAGAATGAAAAGATAACCCCATGACAAGGAGAAGACAGAATTAGGCTAATTATGTAAAAGCAGGTGGAAAAAAAAAAAAACAAAAAACCTTTCCTCCCAAACACAGAACCTGTGTTATTCTGCTCAGATAGTTCATCCTCTCAGCATCCTCTTAGTTTAGTTGGCAATTGAGAATTCCTAATGAAAGGAGATTAGAATTATCTATCTCAATGAACTAGGAATACTTGCAAAGTGAACTAGAGGATCCTCACACCTTGGTTGTTGACATGGAAGTAGAGATGCTGAGCCAAAGGTCACCATTTTCAATCAGAGAATGCAGCTTGCCCACCCGTGGTGAGCTCAGATCAGTTTCACAACCAACTAGTCACACACCTCAAATGTACAAACCATGATGCAGGGAACAATAAACCTTGGAAATGTTCATATTAGAGAAACATAAACCTCTATGATGTGGGGATAAGGTTGGATATTTCGAATTCTACTTTTCTTTGCTTGACTCAATGTAATGCAGGTAATGGCTATAGAAAGAGTGCTATATGTGAAGCCAAAAGTCCTGAGTTGAATGATCCAACTCCTCTTAGTCCTTGTGTGATACCAAAAAAGTTGCTTATCCTCTCAGTATTTTTGAGTATTGTCACATTCCCTTTGTTTAAATGACAGTCCTGTGAAGGTGAATGGGAAAGCAAATGAGACAGGGCAATCTCAGTTCTGGCCCTTAGCTTTTCTTTTTGGTTTTGGATTCAGTCAGGCTTCTTCGCTTATTTTTAAAACTTTTCAGGCAGCAGCAATGATCTTTGAACAGTATTTATTACATTGCAAAACCTGTATCCTATAAACCCTATTTAGAACCTGTCTACTTTCTGTGAATTGAAGACAATCATAGTCCAATGTAGAATTTGGTCTGTCTACCTTCTGGAGTAGAGTAAGGAGCAAAATAAGACATTGAGATACTGTAAATACTTTCTTTTTTTTCCTGGAAAACTGTGGCCTTTGGTCATGAACCTCAGTCTAGTAGGATAGCTAGTGAACGCCTCCAGATGAAAGTCTTTGTCATGTAATACAAATAAAAACTCATTGGCTCCTGTATTTAGAAGGGGAAGGAATCTGAGAGGCCATCTCTTCCATTCACTCTTATCTTGATCAGCCCTTGCAGGAATAGTCCTGCAAATTTACATCCTAGACTAAGAATAAACATCAGATTTTCTCCATGAGGTGAAGCTCAAAAATTTAAGCAAATATTACTTTAACATAGCTATTGAATTGCATTATTAATTTGAGGCATTAAGCCTTTAAAGGTATGCGTTCATCTCTCAAAACTGGTGGCTATGAGCCCTAACTACAAAGTGTAAATTGTCATCAGTTTTGCATTGGGCTGTCTCTTAAAGTTCCTAATTATCCAAAAGCATAAATTTGACTTATTATTAAGGCCCAAATCAAAATAACCAATGATACTAAGGTCATAGATGTAGATTTGGAAAAGCCATTTGATTCTATCTATCCCAACCCCTTACTTTACATATAAGGAAACTGAGGACAGAACAGAGAAGTAGCTTGTTTGCCACACAGGTAGTAAGTGTCAGAGCTGGAATTTGAACTTAGGTGCTCTGTCTCTAAAGCCAGGATTCTTCCTACTCAATTGGATCGAGTCTGATGATATGTGAATAACTGTTAAAGGAGCAGATGTTTTGTGCCCAATTCAGAACCATTGTCACTAGTTCTCGAGTCTTTTCCTACTCACCCTAAATTCTAAGTTTGGTATCAAATATCTTTTCAGTCATTTCTCTTTTATCTCCAACCAGTTCGCTCAATGGTCTTAAGCAATCTCTGACTTGTACAACTGTCTCAGTTAGAAAGTTCTTTATTTCTTAAAAATAAATAAATGTTTGATATCCTCCATAAGATATTTTGAGCAAATTTCCTGAATAAGTTTCAGCTGCTTTCATGACAACTTTAAACATCCCTAAGTCCCCATAATCCCCTTATACAGGGAACATCTGTCCATTTCTATGATCCCTTCAAAAGCCTATTTATAATTTCAATCTTTATCATCTCTTTAGGTAACAAACACCCGAAATGCATTACCCACTGGGTAAAATAGCTCTTCTTTTTAGAATTTTGAGAACAGTGCCTTCCTTTATTTCTGCAATTCTCAATTTAAGCCAATTATCATCTCCATGTTCCTCCCTCCCCCTTCTGTTTCCTCCTACCTTCTCCTCTCTTCCTGGTGGTATTTTTTTCCCCCTTCATTGCCTTCTTATTTGCTAATAGATTATTTTCATTTGTTTCCTGTAGGTATTAGGAAAGAAAAAAATCTTGAAAACAGAGAAGAGAGAAACTATTGAAAAGAATATTCCTACCCGTGGAGACTGAATACACTTGGACTAAAATTGATGATAAGAATATATTTTTATCCTCACTTCCAAAGAATTGTGTTTGCAAAAGACAGGAAATCAATATCCTCTGTAAATCATGAGAAATTTCTTTATTTTTGTTTTAATAGTTTATAAAGAGCTACTAAGCTCTGTATTTATCACTTCGATGAATTCCCAATGTGAGGATCCTTTTAAATTTTTGATTCTTGAAAGATAAAAATGCAAGAAACAATAGGCATTTCTCCCACATTGCTAAATATTATTCATATGAAATATGTAAAATAGTTTCTCTGTTTGGCTATCTATAAAAGATAGTTTTTGCAATTAGTTACTCCAAAATATTCATGTGTTTTTTTGTTGGATGAACAAAACAATTAAAGAGAATTAGTGAAAATTAAATTACAGTGAGTTATTTTTTTGCCTTTAGCTATGACAGACTAACCACAGTTTCCTTGGCTCATTCCTAAGCATTTTGGTGTCCCTAACCTCTCACTAATCTACTTAGCAGAACTACAATTGACATATTTACAGTCGTCCTATAAAGCAGAGTGGAATCTATTCTAACATCAGATTACAATGTGTCTGTTATATATTAGCCATGGGGAATTCTTGCCTTCAGCTCTGAACCATTAGGGTGAGAATTTATTGCCTTCTGTGTTCAATCTAGGCTAATAGTGAGGGAAGAAGGAAGGGAACTGGACTAGGGAGTAAAAACCGTTGCAAGGGTCTTGGATGTCCCTAATATATGGGTATTTAGGTGCTCCATGGGTTGACTCGGCGTACCAGAATGGTTCATCTTCTATGTGCAAGGGCTATGACATTTCTGTCCCAATAATGCCAATGTAAGAAAATTTTTAGCTATTTCATTTCAATATTTATAAGCTAAATATAATAGCAGCACAAAAATTGAGCCAAAAAGGACCTTGGAAGCCATCTCACCCAAAATCCTAGTAAATCAGAGAGAGGCCACATATTGGGATCACAGACCATGTAATCATGTAGTCCAACTCCCTCATTTTGCAATTATGGAAACTGAGGCCCAAAGAAAGACCTATATCATTCACATGGTTGTCACTGAAGATCGTGTACCAGGGTTGACTACAGCCCATATATCTAGTCTTAGATTTGTATTGAAATATGCACCGTCTCGCTACCAAACCATTGAATACACATTCCCATGGAGTTAGAAGGGACCCAGGGAATCACAAACCCCAATCTCCTATTGCAAACAGGAATCCTCTGCATCACACTATAACATGCAGTCTCTGCTCGAACACCTCTGAAGATAGGGAAGTCAGCACCTTCACAATGATGATGAAAACAACTAGTATTTATATAGTACTTTGAAGTTTGAAAAACTCATTGCATGATACTTCCAATGAACCTGAAAATACTCCTGCAATGTTTTATTATCCCCACTTTAGATATGATAATAGTAATAGCTTATATCTGCATATCACTCCAAAGTTTCCAATTTGTTTTGTATATCTTATTTTATCCTCACAAGAATCATCGGAGGTAGGTGCTATTAGTATCCTCATTTTATGGATCAGGAAACTGAGGCAAAGAGAGGTTAAAGGCACTGCCTGGCGTCACATACTTAGCAAGTGTCTGAAGCTGGATTTAAATCCCGCTATTCCTGATTGCAGGCCCAGTGTCTATCCAATGTGGCATCAAGCTGCTTAGAGTAAGAAAAACATCTCAGAGGTTGAGTGATTTGCCCATGGTCATAGAACTATTTAGTATCCAAGAGGGATTTGTATCCATGTTTTCCTAATTCCAAGTCCAGCTTTCTACATGAAACCACAGACCCTCTCAATGGCAGTATCTTCAATTTTGGCATACTTCTAATTAATACAATGTTCCTCCTGCTTGCCATATTGAACTGCTATCTGCTTCCCTCTTTGCCAACCATTAGTGTGATTTTTGCCTCTGAAACTACCCATATTAGAACAAGTTCCTCTTCCGTATAAGAGTATTTCAAAAGATTGAAAAATATTAAAATATCTATTAAAAGGAAGCAGAACAAAGTATATAGAGAAACAGAGAGCTTAAGAAGACCTGGCTTCAATTCCAGTCTCTGACACATACCAGCTGAATGATCCTGCACACGGCAAAAGCACCCAGAGCCAGAGTCAATCCTATCAAATTCCGAGGCTCGGAGAAGGTGCTGACTAGCAGAGAGAGTGGCCTTAGCAGGACTTCCTGATACCAATGAAGTCACAGGGGCTGATTAAATTATATTAATAATACAAAAAAATGGTCTAAACTAGACCTTTGTAGTTAGGTGGAGTAGTGAATGGATCATTGAACTTTGACTCAGTGAGAACGGTTTGAGTATTGCTTCAGATATTTACTAGTTATGTGACATTGAGTAAGTCACTTAATCTCTCTTTGCTGCAATTTCCTTTTCTGCGAATTAGTTTAATGACAGCACCTATCTCCCAGGGTTGATGTATGGATCAAATAAGATTCTTTTCATATGCATATAAATGTATACACATACATTCATGCATACATGAGTATATATGGACATATGTTTACATATGCTTGTGTATATTTAATCGCATACATATGCAGATGTGTACATAAATACACGTGTCTATGTGGGGATATGCAGCTATATCATATGTCTGTATGTATATCTACCCATACATATCTCCTTAACAAACCATAAAGTACTATACAAACACTAAATATAAATATAGAGACAAACTCCAAATGCTCTTTTATAGGGTAAACCTTCCTTGTTTCCTCATTTTTATTTTCTATGACAAGAGTGTCCTATCCTTCATCATCCTAATCACTCTTTTCTAGAAATACTCCAGTTTATCAATGCCCCAGGCAAAATGATGACTCTTTCTCAGGGTTCCTTTCCTTTCCACATCCTGAGCCACTTTGTCTTTATTAGTCGAAATAAAATCTAAAGCAAGAGTTCCATTTTTGTTTTTTCTGCCTTAGAAATGTTGATATTCTGAGCAAGTAGCATAAAAACAAAATTCTTAAATTCTTGGCTTTTTGTAGAATGAAATTTCCATTAGATGGGTGGATGTCAAAGGCATCATGTAGAGTAATAGACTTGGAGTTCGGAAGATTGGGATTAGGGGTCTACCTCAGAGGCTTATTAACTACGCAATCCTAGGAAAAACCAGTTGATCTATTTGTACCTCAGTTTCCTTATGTGCAAAATGAGGTCAGTGATCTATAAGGTTGCTTCCAGATCAAAATATACAAATCTAGGATCAAATTGACTTTCCCAACACTCTTGAATTCTGTATTTATTGCAATTTTCTATTAGAAAAGCACCATTCATAGCCTTCTTCTGACTAAAATGTTGGGAGCATGTTCCCATTGTAATATAATTTTGGCTTTGTATTTTTGTTTTTCTCCTTCTGACCTTGGACCCAACTCTGCTTCCCCATACTCATGCTTGGTTTTGTACACAGCTCGATGCTTTTATATTGTATATTACTGTTCCTGCTTCCCATTGGATTTGTTTCTTTTGAACAAGACAAGGTTTAGATTTGGAAACCATTTTAGATGTCACTCAGCCTGAACTCCTCATTGTATAGATGAGGAAACAGAAGCATTGAAACAATAACCAAGGTTATACATACAGGTAGGAGTCGAGCTGGAATTTGAGCCCCACCATCTGGTATCCTTTCCAGTATGCCATGTTATTGCTATACTGTTATTGTTCTTAAATAAAAGCTAGCATTTATAAAGCATTTTAAGGTTTGCAAATTGCTTTAAACTTCTTATTCATTGGGTCCTCAAAACAACCCTGTGAAGTATATGTTATTATTAACCCCACTATATAGACGAAAATTTGAAGTTGAGAGAAGCAAAATGATTTGCCCAGGGACACATAGTTATTAATTGAGGCAGGGTCTTAACTTAGGTCTTCCTGATTCCAAGACCCATGCAAGTTCTGTCTGCTCTATTGTTCAGTTGTGTCCAACTCTTTGTGACCCCCTGGACCATAGCACGGCAATATTGGGTTTTCTTGACTGGAGTGCTTTTCCATTTCCTTCTCCAATAGATTAAGCTAGCTGCTCAAGGTCATACAGCTACTGAATATCTGAGGGCCACTTTGAACCCAGGTTTTCAAGGCTCCTGACTCCAGGTCCACTGAGCCACCTAGCTGCCTATATATGTACTATATGTACTGCTGTTGTGCACTCTCTCTCTCTCTCTCTCTCTCTCTCTCTCTCTCTCTCTCTCTCTCCTTCTTCACCTCCCTCCCCCCTCCCCCCACATATAAGCCTCTGTGTGTACATGTACGTGAATATATATGTATATATATATATATATATATGTATGTATGTATATGTGTGTATATATATGTGTAATAATAAAATATACCTTCATCATCATCATCATCATTGTTCGCATTGATGCAGTACCTACTATCTTCTGGGCACTGTGCTTAGTGCCTTACAAATACTGTCTCCTTTGATTTAATATAATATAATGTAACCAAATGCTATGTTGTGATACAATATGTTGTGATAGGATATGACATGATATATAAAATTATATATGTCATTACACAACATATAATATAACATATTAAACTATATTGTATTATTATTGTTCTGTCCATAAGACAATATTTACTCATGTGGTAATAATATATTTGCTTTGCTTGTTACAATCAGTTACGTATGATATATGCATACATGTAATATTTGTTCGCATGTATATATTATGTGTGCTTATAACATATCTTATCGAATTCCAGATTTAATCTATGAAAGAAATAGATTATGATTATCCCCCATCTTATTCCAAACACTCTGAAAACTATGTCAGTTCCTAAGGGACAGTCATATTTCTACGTGGCTTTCTAATATACAAAAAAAATTTATATATATTTGCAAATGATATTTATACTGATTAAATGCCAATTTAGGACTAAATGTAGCTTCATTTATCCTTTTAAAAATAGCCTTTCTTCCTTGCAGCCACCAATGAATATCCATTCCATCGTGGTGAAAGTCCAGTGTGTTAACAAAAAAGTTGGTACCGTTATTTACCATGAAGTTCGGATTGTGGTGAGAGACCGGAATGATAACTCTCCAACTTTCAAGCATGAGAGCTACTACTCCACAGTGAATGAGGTCAGCTACTCTCTTGTCTTTCTTCCCATCTCTTTGTTAAAATGATGCAGAGACAAATCAAAGCACCTGCTGGAAGCTATCCTTAGCTTACCATTAGCTCTAATGTTTAAGACTACTAAATATACCTTGGCATTTTATTTGAAAGAAAATTAAGGAAAAGAATATGTAAAAAAAACCACGTTCAGATAGTGCATTATTTTTTTCAATGTTTTCAGAAAACATTTATAGGAAGGTGCTAAAGATTCAATATTCCATTGGAAGACATTAATCCTCAGAAATCCATTCTTGCGCACGTAGCCATACTTTATTCAAGTTAGTCAGGAGGCAATGTTTGACCCTTCTTTTTTTGGCCCTTCAAGAACTTCAGTGTATTAGCAGGAATTAAGAAGACACTATGAAAAGTAAGCCTTTCTTCTAAGAATATTGAATAATAACAGGTACCTGTTTTAAAATTCTTTCCAGTTTACAAAGCACTGTTCTCACAACAACCATTTGAGTAAAATAAGACATATTGTTATCCTATTTAACAAATGAAGAAACTAAGGTACAAAGATGTCATTCCTAAATTCATAGACACAACCAATAAAATAGATAAGCCTTTGCTTAATTTGGTTTAAAAAAAAAGAAAGAAGAAAACCAAATTACCAGCATCAAAAATAAAAGGAGTGAATTAACCACCAATGAAGAGGAAATCACAACAATAATTAGGAACTATTTTGCCCAACTGTATGCAATAAATTTGAAAATCTTAGTGAAATGGATGAATATTTACAAAAATATAAGTTGCCCAGATTAACAAAAGAGGAAATAAAATACTTAAATAACCCTATTTCATTTAAAAAAAAATAAGTTGGAAAAGCCATCCGTGAACTCCCTAGGAAAAAGTCTTTAGGACCAGATGTATTTACAAATGAATTCTGTCAAACATTTAAAGAACAATTAATTCCAATTCTATATAGACTATTTGGGAAAATAGGCAAAGAAGAGTCCTACCAAATTATTTTTACAATATAAATATGGCACTGATACCTAAACCAGGAAGAGCCAAAGCAGACAAAGAAAATTATAGATCAATTTCCCTAATGAATGTATGCAACAATTTTTAATAAAATATTAGCAAAAAGATTATAGCAACGTATCACTAGAATAATACACTATGACCAGGTAGGATTTATAGCAAGAAAGGTTCAATCTTAGGAAAACTATCAGCATAACTAACCATTATCAACAACAAAATTAACGGAAACCATGTGATTATCTCAATAGATGTAGAAAAAGCTTTTCACAAAATACAACACACATTCCTATTAAAAACATTAGAGAACAGGGTCAGCTAGGTAGCACAATGGATAGAGCACTGGCCCTGGATTCAGGAGAACATGAGTTCAAATCCATCCTCAGACACATAACATTTACTAGCTGTGTGACCCTGGGCAAGTCACTTAATCCCATTGCCTAGCCAAAAAAAAAATGCATTAGAGAACATAGGAATAAATGGAGTTTTCTTTAAAATGATAAGTAGCATCTATATAAAACTATCAGCAAGCATTATATGTAATGGGGATAAGCTAGAAACATTTCCAATAAGATCAGGGGTGAAACAAGGACATCCCTTACCACCACAGGTACTAAATATGGTACTAAAATCATAGACGCAGAACATCAGAAACACCAAACTAGAAGGTTCTAGTACAATCTGGAACTCTCCAAGAATCCCCTCTGCAATAACCCAAGTATCCATCGCAGGGGTAGGTAGGAACCTGTGGCCTGAGACCTTCTGTGAAACTTCTGTGAAATTTGGATTCAGTCAAAGAGCTGCACTTTGGGACCTAGAGGGCCACATGTGTCCTCGAGGCTGCAGGTTCCCCAAACACATCAGCAGCTTTTATAAAATGCTCTGTGATAGGAAGGAAATCAGGAGCTTCCTGAAGGAGCTTCCAAAAGAAATTCATTCCACTTTTGGTAATTAATACCCAGGAAATTTTCTCCTGGTGGTTAAATAATTGACTCAGTCCTCTGCATTTTCCGTTTTAGTCAAATCACTGTAATTACTGGTGGGTGTGAGGGAGGAGAAAATCAAACACATACAAACTCTTGTTTGCATAGAGAGCTCCTCTACCGAGCTGTACAAAGCAAAGACATTTTATGCTCATTGGAGAAGCAAAAATGAAGCCATAGTAGTATGAGGTAGACATGATAAGTGAAGGTAAACAGTTGGTAGCTTACTAAAGGCTTAAAAAATAGAGAATGACGATTTAAAAATAGAGAATGACGATTAACACTGCAGTTCTGCAGTGATTAGTGGTATTCTGCAATATTTCAAGAAATAGATAAAATATTAACTATTGATTTGAAGAAGTTTACCTAAGCAAGATAGTGAAACATGGCCATTTTGTTTCCTGAAGGCAGTGATGTTCGCCATGCGAATATACTTTTCAATAGTTCTTCAGCTTAGCAGCATCCAATTATCTCATATCCCTATTATCCATTTGCAGTGATGTAAAATGTTTGCAAGCAGAAAATTCTAGAGATCTTCAATACCTTTAAGCCAAAATTTGCTTTGTTCAAGCCCCTAAAGATCTCTCCTAGTTATATACGTTGGGAACAATAAGAAGAAGTCAATCCTCTTTATGGCAGTCTTTCAAATATGTGAAGACAGTTCTCACATCTATCCTAAAGCTTAATTGCACCAGGCTAAAGATTCTAATTCTTCCAACCAATCATCATTTTACTGCTCATTCATCTGGTCGTGCTTTTCTAGATGAACTCAGTAGTCAATGTCCTCATTAAAATGGAATAGCCAGAATAGAACTCAAGTTTTCAAAAGGGAGAGTGGAAGGGGTGGATCTATCTAGTATAGAATACATCAAGATGATCATTTCTTTCATTCTTAATGATCTGATTCTGTTAAGGGAATAAAAAAAAGTTTATTTTTAAATTTGGTTATTTATTTTTGGGGTGGTCAGAATATTATCTTTACCTATGTTGATTTAGAAATCCTCCCAAAAGCCAGTTAGGTGTCACAGTGGACAGAGTACTAGGCTTGGCATAAGAAAGGCCTTAGTTCAAATCTGTCTTTATCCACTTATTAGCTGTGTGACCTCAGAGAAGTTATTTAACCTTTATTTGCTTCATTTTCCTCATCTGTAAAATGGGCATAATACTAACTCCTACTTCTCAAGGTGGTTGTGAGGATCAAATGAGATACTATTTAGCATAGTACCTAGCACATAATAGGCATTTGTTGTTGTTTGTCCTTTTATTCTGAAGAAGACCATGAGGCAGGAAGATTTTGCCATGACTTGCAAGTGAATTGGATTTAAGTGAGGGATGGCTGTGCAAGGTCACCAGACTCACTTTCTCTTCTGGATCCATCTGGGTTCTATGGCAAGATATGGATCAGAAATACTGGAGATGGTCCTGAATGCAGTGGGAGACATTGGCCCTTTTAAGCTAATGACTTTCCAAGTTCTCACTTTGACTGAGGCAATACCCTTTCAATTAAAAATTAAAGCTAGTTAAGAAATGAGCAAAGGAATGACTCTTTTTAACTAATAAAAAAAAAAAAACAGCAATCTGGGAAGGGAAGATTTCCCCCACCTCACCTCCCTCACACCCTCCACCCCCTCCCTTCTGACCAGCACAGAAACAATTACTATTTATATTCACGCTGAGCCATCAGGGCCCAAACAATGGTTGGGACCAAAATTAGCCAATCTATGTGAGCCAGAGTGAATTGGGTTTAAGGCATGATCTTAGGAAATGAATCTAATATCATGCTAGGTTTCAGCCATCAAAATTTACCTACAGGTGCCCTGCCCAAAAGAATGTCAGGGAAGGGAAAGGGAAAGCGAAAAGTAAAGGGAAGGGGAACAGGAAGGGGAATGGGAAGGCCAAGATGCTTTTGAGCAAAAAATTCCATCTTTCTCTCCCTGTGACAATGAGGTTGCTCTAATCTTCCTTTTCTTCTCTGTAAACACCGATAAAGCAGAGAACCTTTGAGCTCTGAAGGACCTCTGTGAAATGGGAGTGGCCAAGAAGCCTCAGAGTGCCAGCCCTGCCCACTTCCCAAAGCCACCTGGAAGCCCCAGAGTCATGGGAACATCTGGCATGAGTGCCTCTGCCCTGACGTGCTCCTGTGCACCTGACTGGGAAGTCTGACTGAGAAGTCACCATAGACCCTTGTAGCCACAGCAAAGAAGAAAAGGGCTGGGCTTTGTTCCCTCTGGGGTACAGAGAAAATTGTTTCTTTTATCGGAGATGGCATCTAGACAGCATAAGAAAAGTCAGTGCACAAGAAAGAGTCGTGTGTGTGCATGCACATGTGTGTATTTACACGGGGGTGCACACACACACACACACATACAGTAATTTGAAATTAGAGAGAATAGTAACAACTTGAGTTAAGGACATCAAAAACTCTGTGTTACTTCTGGATAACAGAGGGTTCTTTTTGCTATTAAACTGAACCTCAGATATTAAGGGGCCCACCAATAGTTTAAATGAATATTATATTTGGCCTATTTTCAGAAGATGAAATTCATTTTTTTTTTTGCCAGGTCTTACATATATCTCTCTCCATCTTTCTTAAAGGACATTGTGGTATAGATTTCTGTAATTGTTGTGAGCACAAATTGACATTCAGATAAAGAGTGCTTTGGGCATCATTAGAGAAGATTCATCTCAGCAAGTGATGATTCTTCCTTGGTGCAGGGCTCAATAAGTGGAGTAAGAATTAGTTCAAATAATAGCCTAGCTTTTTTTCCCTTGTTAGCAGAACTCTGCAACTCCAAGGGGTGAATTTTATCTTTTTATTCACCCATCATGGGTTTTTAAAACATACATCCCTCCCCTCCCCCCCGTCCACTGTACATCTTTACAATGGATATAAAAGCTCAAACATGTCCTAAATACACTTGCATTTATCTATGTATTCATAGACATATGTGTATATGAACAAAACATGCAAAGCTTATAGAATGTAACCTTACAGGGAAAGA